GGACAAAAAGCACTGGCCTATTGCATTAGACATGGCTATTAAAGGAATAATGCAGCTGATCCTTCTTACAAAGTGCCCTGAGAAATGGTTTAGCTAGATCATGTTCCTCTTGTCACATTGAATCATGTTCACCAGCTCCCAACATGCACACAAACCCAGGCTCACAAAATCACTGATATGTAACTTTTTTCTTCTTCACTACATCCTCATCTCCAGGCCATCTTATTAGAAATAAATATGAGAATAAATAGTAAAATTCAGTTATATAGCTCTTGTCATATTCATCATTTTGAATATGTTTTAATTTTTCACTTTAAATAGGAAGAAATACCCCAAAAGTGCCTTCATAGTTCAGTGAATTCATAGTTCAGAGCTGAGATGCTAAATACATTGTCTAGGAAAGAATATTATTTGGATATAGTGTATTTATTTCAAAATAGACATAATTTACTGTAACATGTTTGCCCAAATATATTACTGAGCATTTGTAAACATATATACATGATATTTTTCCTATTAAATAAGCAAACCTTTTCACATACTTTCATGGATTTTAAAGAAGGCTGTCATCAAACCCAATATTTAATTTAAAGAAATTTTTCTGTTAAAATCAACCTTGAACAATTGATAAATGTTGGAAACAATAGCCTATACAGGTAGTCCTTCTTTGACTTTCAACCATAATTGAGCATGAAATTATGATTGTCAGTTAGTTGTTGCTGTCATAAATCGAGCCATCACATGACCAGACTGATTTTATGGCACTTTTTCCAGCTATTGATAGGTTTTTATTGGGGGCTGGGGGTTGCCAGAAACTGGAAGTAAATGTTGGAAACAAGGAGGAAAATCGTGATCATGTAACTACAGAACATTGCAAATCCCATAATATCATTAGACAAGATGGGTGGCAGACAAGTCAAATAAACAAACAGATAGACAGTCAAACAAACAAACAAATAAATCAATAAATGGTGAGATGGTTGCCAAGAACCCAAAATGTGATTATGTGACCATGAGAGCATGCAGCCATTGTAACTTTGAAGTAGATTTTGGGGAGGCTGTAGCTTCTTTAAATGGTCTCTTAACATGCCCAATATTTCTATTTTTTTATTTTTATTGTGATTTACAGAGCAAGTACTGATACTGTTTATACATTACCCAAGAGAAAAAATGAATTATATTTATGCTTTTTTCCAAACACACATTTCTGTTCATAAATATCTTTAATGCAAAAGTACACATGAACCATTGTGAGGGCAGCTTGAAAAAGTTGCAGAAACTGTGGGCCCCTAAGCAGGACTTCACCTCCCCATGCAACACTTAGCCCTCCCTGAGTTCCTGCTTGCCCTCAGTCTTATCTGCCTGCCCCGTGCCCACTGCAACCCAGGCCAAGGAAAGGCTCCACTCTCAGTGTTTCATATGCAACATCTTAGCTACAAGGCTAATTGGGAGGCCATAAATTGGAGTCATTGCCTAAACTAGGGGCTTGGAAGCTGTGGCTACCATTCCAGAGGATTACTACATGCCAAGAGATGCAGAAACCTTTAAAATCTGAATATACTGTATTTCACAAAAGATTTTAAGAAATTTTGGGGAAAAACCTACAGAACAATCTGTAAGGCTCTTCTGAGGAGTATTCAAATCATCTGATGGATAAATTTGGAGTTGAACTCAGGAAATGCAGATTCTACGAGGTTAATTGAGGCACATTATGTTTTGGGGTAGAAATGATACCTCTAGTCCTGAAGAAGTGGACAGAGCTCTTGGAATTGTACATTAGATCTGTATCTTTCATGGTAGGTTTAGGCTGCCTGAGGAGGTAATGTGTGATTAAGTCTAGGCAGTGGTTAATTTATCCACAATAGAGAGGGTAGTCTGTTTTTACTTAAAGATACAACGGTATATACTCACATTCAAGAAACCATTCCTGGACTCAACAATACTGGATAATTTTCATCCAGTTTTCAACTTCCTCTTTTGATGAAAGTTTATGGAGAATATATTAAGTTGCAGTTTTATAGGGCCCATTTTGCCTCATTCCAGGCTTTTGGTCTGGGTTTCCTATTGAAATGTCATTGATCAAACTTGCTCACTAAAATCATCTGTTAGAATAGGATGAGACCTCATGGTATGCTGATGATATTCAGTTGTGCACCTCTATCTCTAACCAACCAAGTGACGCCTTTAAGATTCTTTATCAGTGTCTGAGTGCTGTGAGCATTTGGCTTATGCTTAACTCTAGAAAGACTCAGTGGCATAGATTTTAGGGATGGCCTTTATTGGAGACTTTCAATGTTCAGTTATGGTTGGGATGGCCCTCCCCGAGGCAGAACTGGATGCACATTTTGAGGATTATCCTAATTGTTGGCATCTGCTTGAGGGACAGATACCACCTGTGGGCAGGAGGGCCTGTACACCAGTTGCACCCATTCCTGGAGCAAGCATCCTGCTTACTATCATGCATACCTTAATCACTTCCTGTTTGTCTTACTGGATTTTTAGCAGCTTATTTGTTTCCTATTACCTCTTGTCCATCCCAACAGATCTGACAGAACTGGCATGCTCCTGATACTTTCTATTAAATAATGCAATCTGATAGAAAACCCGCCTTATCTGTCACTGACCAGTGGAATATCTATCCATTGAAATCCAGGCAGTCCCCAGTCCTTTTGAAAAGCAACAAAGACCTGGCTGTTCACACAAGAATTGGGCCAGGGGATTGATAGAAATAAACTGAGCAATGTTTTAAGAAATGTTTTCTTGATGGGTGTTTTGGAGGCTAGTTTTGTTCATGATTTTTAAACTGGTTGTATTTCCCCCATCTCTCCCCAAGTTGTTTTGAATTGGATGGCTATATAGAAAAAAACAGACAAGTCCTAGTTGCCAAAAGTGTGAAAAATGTTTTGTGATTGAAACACCTCAAAAGGCCCACTTTTAAATCACAACACTTCTTTGAGGTCTGAACAGCATGTTTTGGGGTCAGAGCAATTAAGGGTAACCTCTATTACTGCTCGTATTAACCCAATATTATAGATTACCTGGGTTTGCTGTATAAGTTGATGTGAATCCAAAATGTCAAAGAAAATTGATGGTTGCTTTTTTTCTCAAAATGTGTGTTTTTCTTGAGTTCTTGGAAGGAAACTTCAGTTTCCTTGAGGTCTCATCTTGATTGTTTTCAGTCAGATTTAATTTGGTATGTCTGAGCTGGGTATTTAGTTTTCTGAGAATGATTATTGGAGTAGTTGGATGCTTTAAGGAATCGAAATTAGTAATCCTCTTTCAGAAATTAAGAAGCAACTATAGAGAAGATGAACTTGCTAAAACCATTACTTGCAATGGACAGTAAGAATAACCTTGAAGAACAGGAGAAAGAGCTGTGGCCAAGACAAAAGAAATCTGAGTCTAGAGACAGAAATATAATTTGAGAAAGTAACTCAAATAGGACCTTCCCAAATTCTCATCATGATAAAAGGAGGGAGGGGGAAGCATGCAGTATTAAAATTTGTGAGCTTCTGTTACTGTACTATAACCTTATAATAAAAGTAATATTAGCATTCATAACATTTTTTCTAGCTCTACCTGGAAGGGATGACATGACCTCCCCTATACAGTTGAATTAAAGTAGGTAGTGGACTTCAGAAGTTCAGTGTTTGCCTTTTAAACTTTTTTTTCCTGATAGCAGTTTATAAATATGAATCATTAGAAATGAATTATTCTGTTCAGGAGGACAATATAAGTCTCATTGCTCAATACTGCCAAAAAGTGGTGTGTATCTTCAAGAAATAAATGGAAGATAAATATTTGCAGTACTAATGTTGTGTAGGGCAAACATCTAGAACTGAGATTAATCATTCAGTTTCTATGTTTGATTCAGCCAAACAAGAAAATTTGCAGAAATAGACTCTTTGACATTATCAGGAAGGAAGTGATAGTCCAAAGATAAACATAAGATTGGTAAAACTGTAGCCTGTCAATGTAAAATCAGTTTCTAGAACATACACAAAAAGCAATTGTTTGAGATAATACCATTTTTGCCTTGTATGTATCAATCTTCTGACAAACAGAAATATTACTTGCTACTTAAATTTTATCAGGACATGTGATTATATACTGGTAGAAGATGTAGTGAATATGGCAGTACTATACAATATTGTTTTTCTGTCCCAAACAACTTTATAAATGGCTTTGTATTGTCTGTTGTGCATAAATTTTAGGCAGGAATATCTAGTTATTGGTACCAATGTCTTTTATAATACCAAGAGATACCAAGTAATTGAATCTAAATCCCATATTTGTGTGATGGATTGATGGATTACATATAATTAGCTTAGATTAAATTTCATGTGTATTGATAGATAGCACCTCTATGATAAGCACAAATCATCTTTTATGAGTGTGAGTGAATGTGCTTGTGTGTGCTGAAGGCTATGAGGTCTATACTCATTCTACTGCTAAAATAATTTAATCTGATCATGTATTTGGCAGCACTGTAAAACTGAGTTGTAAGTCTTGCAGATTCATTACAATACATTTGATAATATGTTACAAGCATCAGACAATAACTGAAATAGCAGTAGATCCTCCCACTGAGAAACATAAAATTAATTCTGGTGACATAACTTGGCTACATTCTTTCTTATTCTATTGAAATTTATCACTCCTCTGAGTGAGTAATCACAATTTTTATAGGAACTGTGATTCATGGCATGTTCAAAAGAAAATATAGTGCACAATTACATGCAACTTACAAAACTTTTATTTGAGAAGGGAGAGATCTTGCAAATATCTGAAAAGCTATAGAGATTTATAGTAAATTTAAAGAAGTACAGGTCTTCTCCGTTTATTCTAATCCATTCATATTTTTTGAGATCATTCAAGGCTTCTGATTCCCCATCCTCCTCCAGAAAACTGTTTGATCCAAATTCTTTGATGATGTGCATTTAATTTAAATGTTTACATTAAATTAAACATTTAATGTTTGTGTTTGTTTGTCTTTTCAGAATTATAGATCAGCGGTTTGAACGAGTTTCATATTTTATCTTTGGTGATTTCAATTTTCGACTGGATTCAAAGTCAGTGGTAGAGGTAGGACATTCTTCTTTGTTTACATCTACATTCCATTCAAAATTCTTCAATTAAAAAAAAACAATTAGTAAGCAATTTAAATTAATACTAAATTTGCCAAAAAAGTAAATTTTATAAAACTTGAAAATAGCTATCAAACCATAATATATTGAATGTATAGTAAATCCATTATTCCAATACAAGGAGTCAAAGGTTACACCAATAGGGGATTTATGCTTGAATGGTTGAGAAATGTTCCTTCTCTGATGCCATAGACAGAAATGAACAATCTATGGAGTCTTTCTTGGTTGTTTGCTAGCAAACAATATGTTGCTTTTGTCATCATATTTATCTGGTAGCTATTGATTTGGTTCATTTCAGTCCTTAGGAATACAAGCTAAATTCTCCAACATTTCTGATTTAATTCATATTTCCTGTGAATGAAACACTGAAAACCATTGTAGGTCAAAGGCCTACAAAGATGCTACAAAGATCTGTACCACTTTGGAAGGATTCAAATATTTGCCAAAAAATAGTTGCTGGGAACAGCATCCATCCATCCATCCATTCATTCATTTTAACATTTCTAAAATTGTGGACTGAAGTCTGAAAAATGCTGAGTGATAATTAAAGCAATCCATCTCTTGTTTTCTCACAAAAATTTCATGATGAAGAATTACTATATTGTAAAATAATACGAGAATCATTTTCTTGCAGGAGTAGGAAAAATACTCTCTGTAATATAGTGGTGCTTAAAAGCTGTGAACTTTTTGAATATTCAATACTTCTACAAAAATATAACTTAAAATGTGATCACTTCTGCACACAAGTTCTAAAACTGGGCAGGGAGAACCTTGTTATACAAATGAGTCAGAGATATTTCAAAAAATCAGAAGGGTTCACAAACTTTTAAAATCATTTTATATCTGTCAGTCAACCCAGTAGCTGAACTAACTATTACATTATTGTAACAATAAGCCATCAAAGTTTACTTGGAGTTGTAAGCTTCTTGGTAAATTGCCAATTTATCCTAACCCTATTAACAGATAAAAAATAATCCCATTACTTTGTTTTGTTTTCTTGCATACTTAATCAGTGGCTGGATCCACTAATCCATCATCAATTGGCACCTACTCTGTCACTGTTCATATAGAGTAGGTTGAAGTTTTAGCTCTTGATTAGCTAATTAAAAGGCAAGTCTGTTCTAGTTATGTTTGTTGTAGTAGGCTATAGCAAGTTGTTGTTGTTTTGTACTTATTCCATTTTGCACTGCTGTTGTGCAGTCTGAAAGTTCAAACATGTTTTGAATAACAAAAGTATTTGGTAGATTGCTGTTCAATTCCTATTTAATTTTTTTAAGACATATGTCACAGATCTCTTAGAGGCTGCTGAACCTGAAAGTTACAGTTCCTTTTGTTTTCAATATCCTTTTAAAAGCCCTTTAGTTTCTAATTAATAAATATTGAAGTATTCCTATGCAAAAATGTCTGGAACTTTTGCAAGAAGAGTCTAGTTTATTAAAACATTTTGTAATATAGTAGCATTAATATTAAGTCAGTCCATCCTTATATAATGGAAACTGTCTAGGTAGTTTTGCACAATAAATAACACGTTGCCTGTAAATTTAAGGAATGTAAAGATAAGTGCTATAATTTGGGGAAAGGAATGGATTACATATAGCCCAGGTTCTCCAACATAGTACCTACCAGCTAGTGATTTTGAAAGTTGGAAGACATCAAACTTTTTTAAAATATAGAAATAAGTAACTATTTATTAGTAAAACTTTTGTTTCTGTAACCTTTAACTGGGCAAAATCATGCATTATAGGGAAACTGGTTTTGAAACCGGGCTAATTTACAGAAGGTGTCCATAATCTGGGACCCATAACTCTCATGGAACTGAAAATTTGGCAAATTTTATAAAACATTTTATGACATAAAATGATCATGAAACAGTTTATGTGGTGGAATATGTGGCAGAAGGGCAGGGTCTTTCCCAAGGATCAAAGAGACAGCTTAGCATGGAATCTTCGGTATTCAGGAAGAAAGCCAGAGGCTTTCACAGGATATCTAATAGTTATGCAGATTTTTTTCTGGCAGGATTCCTTCTATAGTGGACAACAATAAAGGAACTACTTTGAAGCAACTCCTCATGTTGCTCTGGGTCCGTTGTACCCAGCAGTTTATGACATAATACAAAATGTCATAAAACATGTTGATGTTTGACTGTGCTATATGTGTAATATATTTTCAAGGCAGATATATCTATGAATGTATCCCAAGTTTCCAGTGAAGACAGTACATTAGAAGTTCTGACATTGTTGAAGGCAGTGAGGAATCTGTTTAAAAAACTCTCTGAAAGGATGACCAAACAATTCACAGCATTGCCTACAATTTTACAAATGTGGGGGGAAATTAAATAGGGAACTTCGTTTTCTGGTTGCATTTAAGAGATGTTCTAGGAAACATGTACACCATGTGGTAGCCATTGGATGTTTTAGGTTAGAAGTCCAGCAACCCCCTTACCATTGGAGCTGGCTCTCTTGGCTAGGAAACAGAGATGAACACCACCACCTAGAATTGGACCATAACATGAGAAACCTTTATCTTTTTGAGAGAGATTGTGTGTGTGTAAATAACTGTTGTCCACAATATATATTGCTTAGCTATGATAGGTCTGGGAATAAAAGTTTGACTTGGTTTGGTTTGACATATTCAGATCTCTCCAAAATAGATCCTCCCTTATTGTTGGAATAAAAAAATTATTTAGATGGTATGTGCAACAGGAAACAATCCTGACAAGCTATGATAAGAGATAAAGCAGAGAGATTAAGTAAATTCTTTACATCTGTATTTATTACAAAAGCTATTAGCTACTTGAGTCTTTATTAATCTACTTAGGTAATCAAAATAGCAGTAAATTATTTTACATGAGAAAATAATGCTTCAGTATCTTGAAACACCACAATGTAACCTCCTACAAAAATATGTAATTTATCGCTCAAATCAGGCTCATTGCCAGAGAAGTGGAAAATAGTCAATATGAATCCATTTTTTAAAAGGAGTCTGGGAAATTAAAGGCTAGTTGGCTTAATGTCTATTCCAAGCAATTTATTAGAAATTAAAAGCAAAGAAAATTAATTAGAAAGCTAGGGGAACAAATCTTGCATTCAGCATAGATTTTCCAAGGGGAAATCCTGCCTCAGTTTTATTAGAGTGGATTTTTGTAGATGTCAACAGACATGAGGATAGACGTAATCTCATGTACATTTTTTGTTTAGATTTTTATAAGCCTGTTCTTCATCAAAGGTTTTTGAGCTAATGTAGTAGTTGTGGGTGAGGGGGTATGTTTTTTATGGGTTGCTAACTGGTTAAAAAACAGAAAGCAAAAAGTAGGAATAAAGGGGCAATTTTCTAAATAAAAGGAAATAAGAAATGAGTCCCAAAAAGATTTCTTTTAGTGGCAGTGGTTCTTTATGTGTTGACAGTGATTTTGACTTTAACAATATGGTGTACTAAAATATTCAGAAAGGGAATAAAATTCAAAAGTGAGTATAAAGAATTGCAGGAAGGGCTTCTTAAACTGGATGAATGGCCTAGTTATCTATCGTTGCATTTTATATTCCACTGCCATCTAGCAACTTTTAGCAGCTCACTTGGTATAGTATATAGTACAGAAAACACTTAACATACTCATGAAATGATTAAATTGACAATTAACAGTCATAAAATCCCAGAAATAAGTATACAATATAACTTAACTAAACTGGAACAAAAATTAAAATAAAATTAAAGAATTAAAGAAGGTGATACATTGCATACTCTCCCAATTAGTTGTGTTTTTTAATATTTCTGGAAAAGCAACAAAGGGCCCTGCCTGAACTTTATGTGGAATCCATTCTTTTTTTTTTTTTTAAACAAGTTTTATTAATTTTTAAAACACACAAATTATCATTATTCATTACATGTTTAAACCTTTTTTCATTGTAAATTTAACAAGTCAGATAAATTATGATTCTGTTTTAAACCATTTCAATATAACATACAAAAACCTCTTATTCAATTTCTCTTTACTTCTCTTTACTCTTATTCAATATCATTATTATTATTTCATCTATTTCTTTCTGACTTAGTTACCATTATTCTCATTCTATATTTCTGCAAGCTTTTACTAATTCTCCCCCCCAAAAAAACATATACACACAACACACAAAACATTAAAAAAAATCTTTTTGGAAAGTAACTTGGACCCAGGTATCTCTCTCTTCATGGACTTCAATTATCTTCATGCTCATCTTACATATCATTACTTATTTTATTTACCATTCCAAGTCTTCTATATTAACTTCTCCACATATTTCACTCTTCTTAATTCTATCTTAATTAATCATCTTAGTTTGAATCATTATATTTGTATCTTTTGTCCATTTTTTATCATCCCTTTGTCTCATTCCTTATGAAAAAGAAGAAAATAAGTTTCTCCTGAAATCATTAATCAGAGTATGATGCCTTTCTATCTCCCCCCTAAATTAATCAAATTAACCTTTAAAATAACATCCAATACCCAATCCGATTTTGCTTGGTACATTCTATCTAACTAGTACATCCAAAATAATTAAATACATAATTAAACAATAAATCCAAATATTAAAAACAAATACTATAATAAAAATTTTATAATAACATCAATACCATAATCTTATTAAACTCTTTAATTAAAAACAGTATTCTAAACCTCCCCTATTATTAAATTTTAAAGCCAATCATTATTAAACATTTTAACATTTTAATCTCTTATCAACTCTTAAACCATTACAATACTACCATCTCATCTTATGTACCTTGCAAAATCTTTTTGAAAAAATTATACTTTATCCATTATCCATAAAAAATTCCTTTTTTTCATTTAATTTCAAAACATTGTAGCTTTTCTCCACCTTTTCCCTTTCTTTCTTCTCCCAACAAACCTTTCTACCCCCCCTTCTTCTAACCTCTGCCTTACTGGCTTCCCTTCTCTGTCGT